AAAAACCGTAAGTTAAGCAAACTGTCCGTTAGGCAATGTGTCTTTAGGCAAACTGTCGTTAGGCTAAATGTCTTTAGGCAGATTGACCGGGTACCGAGAAATGCACTATGTTATTATGATTTGAGTCCTGTGCAGTTCAATAGGACTTTCTAGTTAACTGCGTATGAGTGCAAAAGTTAATAATTTTTCTCGGACATGATGTTTAAAAAAATGTAGTTTACGCCATATTAAACCGAGATGTGCACACTTACAATCACACAAAAGAGTTCATATTTAGTGGGTAAAACGGTGATGAATCGTCAAGAGAACTTAAATGCGCTGTAAATGTGATAATGCCTTAACGAAATTGATGACCCATTTCAGAATGACGAGCGAATTTGTTCATCTGCATTTGACAATATTTTGGTTTGTTCAAGATGTGCAAGCCTCAGCTATATATTCAGCACTTGGTTTCGATAACGCACTCAACACAACCATAACATTATCATTCATGGCTTATTCTACTATGTTTTCCATCTTCTGCATATTCGTTGCGATTAGTTTCGGTAAATCTCGACAACTGCACATTGCGTAAACTTTCATAATTTTCAGTCCAGCTGGAATTCTTCAAACATAAAATTTGACTCATCATCTATTTATGCACCTCTACATAAGTCAATACTGAATGAATTTCAAAATTCACGAATTGCCCAATTTCTAGAAAGTAAAAAGTCGCAAATCCATGTGTATGTTTCAGTTCGTTTCGTGAATCGAGTGAAGCATTTAAGAGAACGGAGCGAAGAGAAAGCGAGAAATTCGTTAGCACTGATGAGATCAATCCGGGATGATATGATCGAGCTTAAAAGTCAAAAGTTCGCTTTCTACAACATACAATATTTTACTGGTTGAATGAGTTGGCTCACTGAATAACAGTTGTCATCTTTTGTTCCTTTTATGCACACCACAGGGGTTATTTGACAATCGGCTGCTTCATTAATCGGCTGCAGTCACCTATCGGATAGAGATTAAACATGACTTCACCACAACGAAATCGGGTTGTATTGTATTCAGAGCAGCCTTTGAGCTGTTCCCACTTAACAGCACAGTTCTCGNAGCGCCTCACCATTAGAAAACGTAATTGTTAACAGGTTTGTGCAGGAGAGCAATTGAGATTACTTGTGAATTGCGTGTAGAAGATGGCTTTTTTGAGGAGACTTTCGTAATTGAGGATAGAGGAACGGTTTATGGAGAGGGAATGAATCGAGTGAATTTTACGTTCAGGTTTAACGAGGAGCGTGATCGTGATGAAGCAGCCGCTGCTGCAGCAAGTGCTGAACGACTGCAAAAATCTGCCGAGGTGACCAAGAAAGGATCGAAGTCGCAATGGGAACGACGATTGTCGCCAACACGAGAAACAAAACACGCCGCCACTCCAGTCAAAACCAGCCAAGCAAAAGAAGAGCGTCTTCCTGTTAAGACGAAGCATAAGTCGAATCGTCGTAAGGAATTGACTGAGAAACGATTGCTTCACGATGACCTCACTCAGTCACCCGATGTGAGAACGTCTCAAGAACGCAAAGAAAAAATCAGCGCAAAGAAACAAATTCTCAAAATTATTTCGAAGCGATCCACAAAAAAACAACCGTTAAAGAGTTCATCATTGGAGTCGACACAAACACTACAAAGCACCCGTTCCACACAAATTTCGATGAATCGCTCATTGAGGGAGACGGTCACTCAAGCATCAGCTGTCAAACGCTCTTCTGTAGCACCTGGTGTGATACGCACTGGCCTATCGACGATAAAGCCACCAAAACCGACCAAATTACCAAAGATAACAACACCACGAAAGAATCGTCGACGTAAACCGAAACATAAAAACACTGCAGCCGTGTTGGAGGTATTTTCTCTATGGATTTGCTATTGAAGTATTCGATTCCTCGTACATAACAGCGACAGAACGTCATTCAACCAAACTTCAATAACATTTCATTAGATGAAATTCTGAAAACCTCCAATGAAATTTTGAAATTTCAATAGATGAAGTTTTCAATAACAGTAATTTCCTATCTACGGGATCGTCCTCTTTATGCAATCATCGTACCATTCTTACTCACTGAACTCAACTGAATCTTTTTTCATGGTAACTCTGAGTTATACTATAAGCAAAACCAAGCTTTGAGACTGATTAAAACAAATATCATTTGATATCGGTATCGCGATCGTTATCAAAGCACACGGATGTTTGAATGTCTATGGTTGAAGCGTTTTCTTTGAGCAAAGTGATGGCATTTCTGAGAATTGCATAGTTTTTGTTTGTCAGTTGAATACTCCTAGAGTAATCAACTCAAAGAAGAGAAAATATAAGGTGGCGTTAATTTAAGGTTACTACAGTTGAGAAAACTCAGGAGACCGTTCAAAGCCTGAATGAGTCTTTGACCGAAGCCAAACTCCCAGCTATTGTCCACCCACAAAAGGTTGGATCGGCTCACGAGAAAATTTCCACCATCAAGCCGAAAGGTGAATCGCGCCATAAGTTCACCACTCCATCGACTGTCAGTCATACGAAAGTGATCACAGCAGCTAAACCGGCGGATATGACTACTGTTCGCCTTCCACCTCCTTTAGTCAAACCGCAACCAGAAATCGTCGTTAATTCGATATCCACCCGGACTGCAGCTCGTCCCGCCGTGTCAGCAGTAATACAAGAACCTGACAACGAAAATGCTCCGACGCAGCAATCCCTAATGCAAAATCTATCTGCATCAACTCAAATGACAATCCTCAAAACAACTAACTCTTCGTTTGCAACTCCATCTGGAAAGGAACCGATAGCACAAGAAACTATTCCAAAAGTTCCGCAAACTACTACGCCGGCTTTGACCTCATTCAGTACCACGGTTAGTTAATTTGCCAGTCGCAAACATTTTCCACTTGAAAATAAACTGATTCTTGAAATTATTCTGAGCGATAAATGTTTCGGTGTTTATTTTATAATAACACCATTTTATATTATCGAAACACAAAGCATTCATATCATACCAACACAAAAGGGAGGAGATTCTCCAAGTGAGATATACGAAAGCTACATTTCATCATCCGAATCGATAGTGCATGATATCCGTGCACCTCTTCTACATATACAGCTAACGTACAGATTTAAACCTTGAATTTACACATCACTTCGGTGTCCCTCACGAATCGTCTCCTTCGCGCTCCGTTGCGACAAAATGCTTCATTCTGCGAAAAGATCGTGTTTCCCGGCAAGAAAATTGTTTCCTTAATGATCAGTATTTCTCGAGCATTGCACATTATTCAAAAATAATTTCAGAAGAACAGAGATGGGGGTGTAAGAGAGAAAGATGACGACATGAACGTTGCGGTATGAACAATTTAGTTTTTACTTCCTTCAGTTGCAAAAACAACCATGACATCTGGATACTGGATTTCATTAGTACTCTGAAATAGAGTCCTCAGTGATATAGGTATTCCTCAGCTTATGTCGGTAACAGGTATAATACCAGAAGAGATGACTTAAGTCAAAAACGCCTTATCGAGTTTATTTGTCTGCGAATTTCTTCTCACTACGTTAAACCATAAATAACCATTCTCAGTTCTGTATTTTGTTAGCAAATGTACTTTCAATAGCGTATGATTAATAATCGACAACGACTTAACTGGAGACGACGTAACCCGAGGCATATCTGCATAGAGTTATCATAATAAGATTCAGAATTGATTCAGTCACGCGAGAAATGATTTTCATGTCTAACGGGAAACATTTTTGAAAAACGACGTAGATCAGTTTGTAGTGTTGAATGAGGGAACGGTACAGAATCGACGTATGACAGCTTATATTGAAGCTGAGGTTTCACTAGCAAGTGTGCTATTTGGCACAGATATGCGCACATCCGCCTGACAATTTATTACTCGTTTATCTGCTTGAACAGTTCCAGTACTGAAGGAAAATTGCAGCGAACCCAAAGAGAAGCCTACGAAGATATTTCGTCGAATGTGAGTCTTTCGGCTCGCTCAGAGAGGACAAAACCATTGAAGAAACGCATGCCTAAGAAAGAAACTCGAGTACGATATTTATCTGCTCCATCACCACGAACACACAAGCGAACGCACAGTAATAAGCCTGCTGCAAAGGTAACGAACTTTAACGCTGGTTGAAAATATCCTAACCGATTNAAACTGATATGGTTGAAAATCATGGCAGACATCGTTGTTGTTGAAAACAACACATATCACGTTTCATTTCAACAAAACCGCGTGACTGATTTACCCGGCTCACGATAAAACTGTATTCGATTGCTCATTGGGTCAATCCAGTAGTTCCGTGTTTGCTCAGGGTTGTTTTCATCAAGTCACTATGAATTGTCTTGATGTTCATTCATTTACAATTTCTCCAAAAAAATCCAAACGCTGGCAAGTGATATTTGTGTTATACACTGGACTCATGCACTATAAGCTGCTTAGACCAATAAATAAGCAGCTGAAGAGTATGTGAGCAAAATGCGAGCCTGAGCGTTGAGCAAGCAATTGCAAATTCACTTTTCTTTTGATCGGAGAACGAGAAAATCTCTTCATTCGTAAATTTTTGCTCGCTTCGTTAATAATATGTTGGCCGTTTTACTCTCATGAATATCACTGATGTCGGCGTTATTGTCACTGTCATTACATCATCACTGAATAATTCTGTGACATAAATCTAAAGGAGTGTGAAGAACATCGACGTAAATTTTACGGTCCTTCCATTGATAAATCAAATTCAGTGTTGCATAAAAATTCAATGTTACTGCTATTCTTGTCTGTAACAACAAATTGGATGACTAGCAATGGGTTCCTTTGTTCGTATTCATCGAACGGTTCACGTTCAACATGGTACTGAAATATCTCCGACACACTTATCATAAATAAACCAATGTCAAAATACATCTCGATGTTAGCAAGATCGAAATGACAGTCACCTGAGCGTGATATATATATATATATATATATGTGTATATATA